ATTATTATTATTATTATTATTATTATTATTAGCCTATTAGAAAATCTCTTTATTTCTTTTTTTTCGTATTTCAATTTGTTGTTAAATCAAACTGCAGTCATTCAAATAAAGAAATATTAAGCCCAGCGTCGATTACTCAAAAATAACTGTTTTGATCTGATTTCAATAATTTCAGAAGCGTGCAGATCCTCGTTCATGTCAGACTGTGGCGACAGCAGCGCGGACAGCTCGCTCACATACAGCCTACCATATATCTATAATAACGGGAAAACATATAGTTTTTATGAGAAAATATGTCGTTTTAACGAGAAAACATCTCGTTGTTACAAGAAAAGATGTAGTTTTAACGAGAAAACATCTCGTTATTACGAGAAAGTATACTTTTCAAATTATCATATCGAAGTTAGAAATTCAAATATTGTGACAAAATACATTTTGTAGGGTGCCACAAATTTGTTACAATTTCCAAAGGGTGCCGCGACTAAAGAAAGGTTGGGAAACACTGCCCTATCCCATCACACAGAATAAGAGTTCATCTCATGTACCGCTCTGCAAATTAGTCACAATTTGCTTCACAGTTTCTTCAAACTGTCTGGCTGTTGTATAGGCTATATTTCTTGCAACAACACTGCTCTTCTCGGTTCGGCGGCGCTGTAGTTTTAACGAGAAAAGATGTCGTCAAAACGACATATCTCGTTATTACGACATAATTGAGTGGAAAAAAAAATGTGTGTGGCAGCAATGCGTCACCGTAAAAAGCAGATAACTCCAGCAGTCGTTTTTTGGCACGTCTGGCGCACCTTGTTATGTCTAAAGGTCTACTTGAATAAAACAATCGAAAACAAATTTGTGTTTATTTAATTCAAGATGCCTGACAAACGTTGTTGTGATCATAAACTGTATGGATGTGATTACACGCAATACACGGAGCTTTTACCTCACCATTGTAACACGCTGCTTTTGCAAGGTTCTGTGAAAACGTTTTTATTTTCCTTTTTCGCCTGAAGAAGTTATCACAGGTTCATCAAATTCGTCGAAATTATCCATCCTCGATCACTTTTAATCAGCTTTGACGAAACTCCTCTCAGCTAGCACGTCTTTTCAAAGTGAAAGTAGCCTTGTCACCTGACCTGAATACAGCGCGCTGATTCGCTAAAATGGACTTATCGGCTTCTGTTCAAAAAGGGTGCTTCTGCAGTAAAACAGATCGCACTGTGGAGAATAATGCACGACAATCAGCTCATTTTTCTTTTTAAGTGGCGTTTATCAGTTTTTGCAAATGAACTCATATACACTACAGATTTATATTAATTTATGAATATTAGTATATTGCATTGTATATAGAAATGTATTCAGAATTTAATATACAATAAATATATTAATATAAATATATAGTTTATTTATTTATAAAGCAATATTGTAACATTCTATATAATAATGACAGCATCTCCATGCAACATTGTAAAGAATTAATATTCTCTTATTATCACTATACATATAATCATATTATCAACCTATTATCATATTATCAACATAACGCAATATATTAGCTCATAGCATACAGCAACAACACATTGTTACGACCAAAAGCCAATAAGGCTAATTCCTTAGAAAAGTAACAGCACACCTCTCCACAACAAGCTGCATAATCTGATGTATTATTAACGTCTGGATCACAAACAATGTGGGACGAGTTACATGCATCGATGTTTGTTCAAATCCCTGATTCAAGCATGAGCAGTTGTAATAAAGATGCTTGACTTAGAGGTAGGCAGAAAAATATGCATGTGTTCATGGAGTGTCTTGTGAACAGAAGGTTGGCTCTTGTAATAGACACTGCATAAATGTGCTTTAGGAGAGCTTATTAAACTGTTGAAAACAGATTGGCGTCCGGGCTGGAGCTCTTGCATTATTTTAGTGTTGTGTGTTACCATGATGTTCTTTTGTATCTGTGTGTATGACAATGTGCATCTTCTAAATATTAGTATCTACCTCAGAAAAAAAATACTTGTGATAAACTTTGATTCTTCATAGCTTTCTCTTTACCACCTGTGTTATTATGGAGATTATCAGTATATGTTAAAGGTAAAAACAGATTTTAGTAGCAGCATGGCCTTTTGTGTGTTTATATTGTATCCAATAGTTACTACTCCACTGAAAAAGGAACTGTTGATTTAACAAAAGTAACAGGACACCAAATAAGCCCTATAAATGGAAAGTGGCATATATATGATCTTTGAAAATTCTTATGAATCCTCTGTAACTGTATGAGCGTCTCAGATCTTTAAACTCTTGACACGTCCAGAGCAGGCTAGGCAGACATTAAACTTTCAGGTTTACTGATTTTAGATCTTTTTTCATCAATGTCATGAAAGCCTCCTGTGGTCAGCATCTCTTTTGACGTCTGCAGGAGGATACAGGCTTAACCCAGCTTGCGCGTGACACCAGCAGCAGAGCAAAACTGAATTTCTCTTGGACGTGACAGAAACACACATGCTGACAGTGAATATCCTCAGACTTGCTCACATAGCCTCAAAAGCGTACTGTGTTATCCCTTTCAGTTTATTAGACGGTCTACAAGCCTGAAGGAGGCAATTTAGTGTTTGCTGGACTTTATGAGTCCAGTTATTCCCTCAAGAACAGTTTCCTTGTGTCAATCAATGGAAAACATGTCCACACACACATACTTTGAGCTTTGAGCACAACTCACTGACTCAGAGGTGGTCTGGGGGAATACATGCATTGTGTGTTTCATTAATGAAATCCTTGAATCAAGACCAGTGCAATTTTCCAGACAATATTGTCATTTGCATTAATGTAGAGCTTGTGTAAATGCCTTATAGCTCACAAATGATTCAATACTAAACAACCGCATGAGTTACTGTATTTCAGCTAATTCCAGTTCTCATTAAAAGTTGTGTTTGCCTTGGGACTTTTCTGAATATATGATTCTGCTTTTGTAAGACATAACAGAACAAAAACTTACGGAGAAAAGAGGGGGAAAATGCATGTCTCAACATTTTTACACCAAGGAAACTATCCTCTGACAAGTTTACCCACAATGCACGGTTATAGCTAATGAGGATCGCTAGCTAAGCCTCGAAATCTGTTGATCTCACACATCAGGGTATCTCTCTAATTAAAGAGTTTCTCAGCCAGAAATATCGCGCTCCATGATCAGACTCCATCTGGATGGACCTGCTCTACCAGGGCCAATGACGGGGAAACAAAAAGACTATCAATGCTTTTGAACAAAATGGTCCACGGATGTCTGCTTTTGCTAATGTGTCCTCTGCCAACACTTAAACAGCCAACAGAAACAAGCAGGGTGCAAAATTAACACTCGCCAAGCACCAAATGCCAGTAAAAATTGGTTTTGGCGTGTAAATAAAACAGAACTTGCCAGTAACCTTATTAGGAAATTCGACATTATACATGCTTGAAACTGAAAGAATGAATCAAATAAAATAATCTGACCTGATAAGTTATCGTAATGACCTGAGCTGGCTGACATAGTTTTTTTTTTTTTTTACAATATGTAAACTAGATGTTAAAAAAAAAAATAAAAAATAAATATATATATATATATATATATATTATACTTTAATTTTACACCCCATTACACATAAATAATATTATATAAAACATACTACCATTCCAAAATTTGGGGTCAGTAAGATTTTATTAATGTTTGTGAAAGAAGTCTCTTATGCTCACCAAAGCTGCATTTGTTTGATAAAAAAATACTATAATATTGTGAAATATTATTACAATTTCGAATAACTGTTTTCTGTTTAAAAATGTAATGTATTCTTGTGACGCAAGGATGAATTTTCAGCATCATTACTCCAGTCTTCAGTGTCACATGATCCTTCAGAATTTTTTTGAAAATGCTGATTTGCTGCCTTAAGAAACATTTCTTATTATTATCAGTGCTGAAAACAGTTGCTATTTTGTGGAAACGATGATTTTCAGGATTCTTTGATGAATAGAAAGTTCAAAAGAACAGCATTTATTTTGTGTAACAATGTAAAAGTCGATTTATTGCATCCTTGCTGAATGAAAGTATTAATTTCTTAAAATTCCAAATATTCTGTATTTTTATGTTTAAAATCTTATGTTTAATAACAGTAACAGTATATAAAATATTTATTTGTTGCTTAATTTATTTATTAATATTATATACATTTATTCTCATTATATTTGTTATATATTTGATAACTCTTTATTTTACAGTGTCCTTGTTACATGTACTTCCTGTAGTAATAACAGTAAATTATGCATAATTGCATGCAACTAACCCTAAACCAAACCCTTTTCCTAACCCTAACCCTATAGTAAGTACATGTTGTTAATTAATATTAGTTCATACTTAAATGTATAATTACACTGTAACCTGAAATAAAGTGAAACCACATTTTTTTAAATAATATAAAAAAATTATGTTAAATAAGAAAAGAAAAATCATGGCTTCTAGATGTACCTAACACTGGCAGGTGTGGCTAATATTGGACCCTGGAAACAAGCCAGTACAGTTCTAGCAAACACACTTTTGAAAACACAGCTTTGATTTGAATTCTACTCACCCAAGAGGTTTCTCTAGTCGGCTGGCCGGCGACCCCACAATTTCACCCAGTGTGCAGAACATCTGACCAAGAAAGTCCTAGATGGAGCGGGTAGGATCAAGCAGAAGAAGCGGTAAGAGCTTATCAAATTCGACAAATACCAACGCTCTGCCCTCTTGTTATAGTAGTGAATTGAGAGGCAAAGACGTACGTATAGTTCAAGGGGCTTCTGGAAAGGAGCACGGCCATGTTTACAACAGAGCACAGCATGTAACAGAAAGCACAAGACACAAATACAATACCAGCCACACAGACAACATCACACACAATTTAGGGGATGATCAGACCAGAGAAGATAGTGATGATTAGTGGACCTACATGATCGCTTCGCATGCATTAAATGAGATGTGATGAGAATCACAGGAATGGGGAGGAATGTAAACAAAAGACAACCAAATATATTCATAATCATATTGATTTACTTCTCATTTCTTGCTTCCACATAAGTAGACGTGCCAATGGTGTCAGACAAACACTGTGTTTTATTTTAATTTTTAAATAACAATAATTTAGTTTTATTATCCAAATCCATATCTAATTTCATTTAAAATTGAAAGTTACAACGTCTCAGTGACTTTTTCTTCAAAAAGGCCAGTGCATTCCAAAATATATTTGGATTTTTTTTTTTTTTTAAAGAAACTGATTTGCATATAAATGTTTCATTCAGGATGCATGAAGGTCATATTACAGCACTACTTACGTGTTTGGAAAGATCAGGACTTTTAGAGTCAACATCATATCTGAATTAAGTAGGGAAAAAAAACAATGTTATCCAAAGATAAGCCATTAAAAACTAACTTTAAAAGGAAACAAGTACTTTAAGAAATGCTCAAATACACACAAAAATGTCTTTCAGATTGCTTGCTGTTGACAGACATGTTTCATAAAGTGCATAAAGTAAAAACTATTGCACTTTAACTTTTACTTTTATTAAAAAGACTGACTTGCCATTGAATAAAAAAAGATTGTATATGAACTGTTTTTGTCCTATATATAAAGAGTTCAGATGCAAAAGCCTCTAAGTACGTCTGACGTTTTTCTTTAAAATTAGCATTTCTTTCTGACTACTATATATAGGTTTCTATGTAAGTACTGGTACTTCTGAATGGGTTGAGGCTGGGATTTAGTGCATTTGAAGTGAAAGTACTTGAAGAACATATACTATGTGTGGAGGGCGTTCACTCAGTATCATTATCTCATTTTTGACCAAGATGGCTTTTAGAGATTTTTCAACAGATTTTGCAGTGCATTTTCATTATATTAAATGAAAAACCTTCAATAGGTAGACTGACCCAGCAAACGAGTTAATGTATAAAACCAAACAAGCTGGGTCAAAATAACCCAGCATGCGTTCTGTCCAATATTTAACCAACGCTGGGTTGAGTGTAGTATTTAAAGACACCTAATATAAAGCTGGAAAGTATTTTGAATCCAGTATGCTAGATTTGTGCTGCATTCAGTAAACTGAGAGAGTCTGTAAAGGCCTATTCACACCAGGGATGATATCTATAACAATAACTAATACTTCAACCAACACCGACACATTTCCTAACTAAATAGGCCACAAAACATCATGCATGGATACTTAAAAAGGTTAAGATTAAGTTAGTAAGAGTAAGTAAATCATAATAAAATGGGAAATCAGATGGTCAAATTCATTTTTTGCATTGAAATATTCCTGTTGGTTTCATCAAAGAGCAGCGACAGAAGGAACAGGAAGTGGGAGGAGGTGAGGGGTGAGAGGTGAGATTCCGTTTTCCAGGAATGGAGGTGTGGATGTGGCACTCCAGGACAGGGATCAAAAGAAAGAACTCACAAATCAAAGCGCAGGTTCTGCTTCTCCTCAAAGAAGTAGTCCAAGATGTACTTCCTGACAAAGTCCGGATTTAGCGTGTTGTCAATCACCTCCGTTCTTCCAAACTAGAAAGTGGATTAGGGAGAGCGGAGGGAGAGATGGGGTCAGAGAGAGAGAAAAGAAGGTGAGAAAATGAAACTGGATATATAAGGTAACAAATGAGTAATTGAAAAAGTTTGGTACAAAACACAGCAGAGATGAGAATTAAATCTGAAATCGCAACTCCTCTCTAATAAAAAATTGGTGTAATCCCCCCCGATTTCACTCTTGCTCTCCCTTGTTACTGACTTTTTCCTTCACTCTCCTACTGTTCTCCAGAGACTCGTCTAAAGCTGGAGGGTTGGTTTGCTGAGATGTACACACTTGTGTGAGGACTGGAAAGGTTTAGTGAAACTTTAAGTCCTCAGTGGCAGCACTAATTACAGCGGTGTGGCTATTCGACATCAGCTCTGAAGATCGGTGACAATTATGTCTGCTTAATCAGAGGGGGACTTCAGCCAAGCTGTCTACTATATTCCTCTGAAGCCCAGCTAGAGGCACCTCACTCCATCATTAACCCTTTTCCCTTAAAAAAAAAAGACTGAATAATTGGACAGGTTCCCTCCCTTCTTTCTAAATATGCAACAAACGAATTGAGGCCACCTTTTGACACTTAACTGATCTGAGCCAATGTTTGTTTAGTGGCCCGCATTTCACCTGGAGGCATGGTGACTTTTCATGCGATATATGTCAACCATAAATTATTCAGAGTCAGAAAAGTTTACATAAATGAATAAACAGCCTGCAAACAGAGTCTGTTTCCATGAACTGATATTGAGATCATAAAACCGACTGTTGTAGAGTGTTTGCATTACTCTGTGAATCATGAAGTGTTTTTCATGGTTTATACAGTGGTTCTCAAACAGGGTGCTGGGGCAACTAAAGATGAAAAAAAAAAATCAAGCTGTAAACTGAAATTATATTTCCTTTTGCCCCTTAATATCAATTCTTTTCCAATTTTATTGGAAAACATACAGAATCAGAACCTTAAATCCTAGAGAATTGAAAAATGGATCATATTTAGTTAAGTTAAGATCAATGCTCAATAGTCAAAATTACAGCATATACCAGACGAAATATCTTAGCCAATATGGGGGGCTTGTGAATATTGTATTGGACAATGGGGGGCTTTCGAGTCAAAAGATAAGTCGCAACTTTTCATTTTCCGTCGGTCTTAGTACACAATGTAACTAACTACAGAAGAGTCAAGCTTTAAATAGGAAAAATACAGAAACTCTTTGGTCATTTTTGAGCGAGATGCTAACGGTCTAATCAGATTCAATGATCTATGCTAAGCTACAGCTAAAAGTGCTACCGCCAGACCCGGAGATCGGCTGAATGGATTCGATAACGGTAAACCTCAACTGTTTAACTCTAGGGGAGTTGGAAAATGAGCCTATTTTCAAAAATAGTGGAGTGTTCCTTTAAAGTGATATTGGAGCAAATATAAATTGTAACTATAAAATGTGACTTATGTCTTTAAATATGTAATATATTTTAAAGTGTTAAAGGGTAAATGACAAATAAAAATGCCTGAGCTAATGGAAATCTTTCAAAAAAAATCTAGTTCAAAAGATTTTTTAAACCTTGTTTTATGACCCTAAAACAAGTTTCACCAAGTTTAACCAGTTAAATAAATAAATAAATAAATTGTTTAAATAACTTTTTTTCCACACTGACTAAGGTTTTTCAAATTGATTTAATAATATTTTAATATATTAAAACAAAAGTGTCTCACTGCTTTGTTTTTGTTTTTTTAAGTAATAATAAAAAATTATGCCAAATATTTCACATTTTTCAGTTTTTTAAAGACATTACAAATTCAAGGACAAATGCACTGGCTAAACATTTAATCAATTTAAGACCCTCAGAAAATGTCAAAAAGTTGTTGTTGTTTTAAAGACACTGAAAACATTGTTCATTCAAAAGGCATAGTCAAATACATGTCTAAATGAATCACATTTATATCTGGACATAAAATATGATCATCACATCAACGGCCATGAAAAAAGTAGTAGTATCTGTACAGAAAATGGAAAGATGTTTAAAATAAATACTCACAAAAAATACTAGAGTTCAAGCCAAATGCGAAACCTTGTGAAAATCATGAGTTCAAATTACTCATGCAACAATTAAGTAACAACTTTCATTGCAGTATCCACAAAGAGCTTTCAACCATCTAATGAATAAAACTTAATTAGCAAACAAACGGAGCACTGCTGTGCTGGTAAAAATGAATCTATCAGACTGCTCTGTTAATTTCAAATCAACAAGCTAAAAGCTATATAAAGAGAGCCTTAATTATTAGCAATTATTGACAAATGTGTGCAATTGCTATACTCACTCCTCATCTGAAACAGATAGATGGCGGTTCTCTCTGTAGACTTGGTATTAATATTGTACTCTGTTTCATTTTGCACAGTGAAAGAACTAAAAGGTATATGTAGCTTTGCAATTACTTTGTCAGGAACGACAGCAATGAAGCCTCATAATTAAAATGTTTGTTGACAGAATATGCTCAGCTCTTTCTGCCTTCACTGTGCTCATGATTTCCAAACATTGTGAGTTTTATTTCAGCTTGTTAAGACCAAAAGGAAGCATTTAAAAACTTGATTAATGATGCCTTCACAAAGTTCAGCCCCCATTGATTTCTGTAACTAGCTCAGATAAGCTTTAACAAGCTTACTATTGCTTTTAATGTGGCCTGAATTACACATTAGTTACAATAAACTTGGAGCAAATATTGATATAAGTATTTATTGATTTGCTACATGTTTAACTTGGAATAAGGACCTCAGCATGCAAGATTTATAAAAAAAGGGGGGAGGGGATGGGGGATACTGCTTAAAGTAATAGTTGACCCAAAAATGAAAATTTGCTGAATATTTACTCAGGCCATCCAAGATGTAGATGAGTTTGTTTCTTCATCAGAGCAGATTTGGAGAAATGTAGCAGTACATCACTTGCTCACCAATGGATCCTCTGCAGTGAATGGGTGCCGTCAGAATGAGAGTCCAAACAGCTGATAAAAACATCACAATAATCCACAAGTAATCCACACAACTCAAGTCCATCAATTAACTTGTGAAGCAAAAACCTGCATGTTTTCATCTCACTAATTCAACATTAAGATAAGTCATCTAAGATGAGTCCTCTATCCATAATATTGTTTTGTCCAGTGTAAAAGTCATCCTGTCTGAATCACAAGAGAAAAGGCACAGATCAAGCACAAGTGAAACAGACAGTTCTAAATAAATATGTCAGTGAATTTTGGCCAGAAGCAACTGTTTCGAGTTAAAATGCCTTGATGAATTTGTTTATTTTTTTGTTTTTTTACTTCACAAGACATTCATTGATGGACTGGAGCATGTGGATTACTTGTGAATTGTTGTGATGTTTTTATCAGCTGTTTGGGCTTTCATTCTGACGGCACCCATTCACTGCAGTGGATCCATTGCTGAGCAAGTGATTGAATGCTAAATTACTACAAATCTGTTCTGATGAAGAAACTCATCCACATCTTGGATGGCCTGAGAGTGAGTATATTTTTAACACATTTTCATTTTAGGTGAACTAGTCTTTTAAGCCTTCCTTGTGTCACTATTATAATTGCTCTGGAAAAATGTTGCACTGTATTTTTAGATAGTTTTAAATAAAGGTTTACAAGAATTATCCAACACACATATTGTCAGTAGATTTACATTATAAAATAGCAAATGTCTAGCATGTCTAATAAAATAGGAATTTCAACAGTTGTAAATGCAGTAGTCTGTAACATTTTAAGGCGAATGAAGTCAATTGTATTTTTAAGTTAAAAAAAAAATTATAATTTATTAAACAATGCACCATGTTGTTATTGCTATAAATGATTTCTGGTCCATATATAAAGCTCTTTAATAATTTAACTGGCCTCAAAATTTAAGAAAAACATTTGGTTCATACTTCATTCAGTATGGAAAAGGTTATATGAAACCCCTGGCCCACGGCTTTATCAGACAAACAACACAAGCAGAGATTCTCTCACTGTGTGTGTGTGTGTGCATGTGTGTGGGTGTTGTCAATTGCCAGTGACAACACCCACACACATGCACACACACACACACACACACACACACACACACACACACACACACACACACCTGCCAGTGAAAGGCAGTCACCCGTACTGGTCAGCGCTGTCATTTTTCTTATTTAATTTACAGTATGTCTTGTTACTCATTATGCATAATGTTTGCATGTACAATTTTTTGGTAATATTAATAACATTTTATGATTGATTTTAAGTATATTTTGCTACTTTTGTCAAATAAACAATTAGGAAACTGCTGGGTCACCACTTAATACCAAATGTAAAACTGTCACATCTGGGTCTTTATCTGGGTACATTTATTTAAATCAATCTGTCAATCAATCAATCAATCAATCAATAAAAAAAAAATACAGTAAATAAATGCTTAGCAATTCTATTAAATTAACGTCAAAATTTAGAAATGCTTTGCACTGGATTTTTTTCTTTCCTTTCCTTCTTTTTTTTTTATTGTACAATAGACGCAACAGCTAAAATGTTTGACGCACACTACTGTTGTGAAATCCAAACATTTCAAACTCTAAATTCAACCTGAGGTGACGGTTCTGTCAGAAAGCAAGCTCTTGCACAGAGATTGCATGGATAGTGGGCAGGATGTCATAAAAGCATTGAAGCCTCTATAATAAAAAGGCCCAAAACCCTTTTTCAGTTCAGGAAACCAGTCAAGACCCTCACAGAAATTAGTTGAGTCTAACTGTGTAACATAGTGAGAGATACAGTGACAGTGAGCAGAATCAGCACTAATCATCCCCTGTTGTTCAAATGTGTTTGTATTATTGAGTGTTAAAAGACAAAAGTGGCTCTCCATCATACCCAAAGAGTGAACTATAACACAATAACATGGGCAGACGGATGTAGATTATGTCCTTCATGTTATTCCTGCATGTGTCTGACTCTGAATTGATCTGCCATTCCCATAACATTCCATAAGCAATAAAT